CACGGCAGGAGGGCTCGTGTAAGACCCGAGACCCTGATGTGGGCAATTAATGTGCACTGAAAGACCACAGCCTGTTGCCACTGATAGTAACCCAATGGCAGACAGGGGTTCACCATTTGGGGACCATGACAAGCAAATCCTGAGCATAGGAGTTGGGGGGAACAGGAAAGGGCCCTGCTGATTCCCCTCAGCCCTCTCTACACTACCCCATTCCCAGTTTTACTCAACTGTGCCCGTATCTCACTGTGACCTGAAACCTTAGATGGGTGCAGTACCAGCAGCATCCACCAGCTCTGGGTGATATTACTCAGTTCTGAACTGCTGTCAACAGTTAAACATCACAACAAAGAAGGCAGGTTAAACATACCCATGGTCAATCACATTGAAACATGGAATGGGTACAACAGCAAACAACTCAACTTGGCTCCTCCTGACCATGCCATCTTCTTTCAACAGCAGATCTCCTCGTCTCAATCCTTACCCACTTCCTGTAGCACGGCAACTGGTTTCCTTTGAAGATCTTATCCAATTCTCTTTTGAAAGCCTCAGTTAAATTTGCTTTCTCCATAAACTCTAACAGTATATTCCAATACCCTAACCATTTACTGTATAAGATTAACCTCAAGTTGCCTTTAATTCTTTTGCATTCACCTTATTTCAGTGTCCACTGTCTTGTGACCCTTTCACCAAAGAGAATTTCCTTTTTCCCATTCATTCTAACTGGTTGCTTAAGTTTTTGAAAATGTCTACCAAATTTCCTCTCAACCTTTTCTAGATTCCCCAAATTATTCACATAACTGAAGTCCCTCATCCCAGGAACCAATCTCGTAAATCCTTTTTGAATGCTAATAGCTTCATATTTTTCCTGAGGTCTGGTGCCCAGAATTTACACAACATTACAGTTGAGGACAAACCAGTTATTTACAAAAGCACATTAGGTTTTTCTAGCTTGTGTACTCTATGGCCCTGTTTACAAAGCCCAGGAGTCTATTCTTTCTTACCTACTCATACAATCTGCCCTGCCATCTTTTATGTTCATGCAATCACTTTAGAATTACATCCTTCAATGTTACATTGCCTCTTTGCTCTTCACATAAAACTGTATCATAATTCTCTGCACAAATTTTCATCAATCACATATCAACCCATTTAATCATCCTATATCCTCCTGATGTGCATCACAATGCTCTTTGTAGTTCACAATGCTCCCAAATTTTGTGTCATCTGCGAATTTTGAAATTGTTCCTTAAACACCCACATTTAGGTCATTAATATAGATCAAGAAAAACAGTAGTCCCTAAAATCAATACATGGGTAAGTTCATTATGTACCTACCTCTGGTCTAAAAGGTCATCATTATTCCCTTTTGTTCCATAAGCTTTGACTTTACTGGCAAATCTATGATATGGCACTTTTTCAAATGCGATTTGGAAGTTACCACATTACCTTTGCCAACCCTGTTACCTCATCAAAAATCTCAATCAAATTTGTTAAATATACTTTGCCGATCACAAATTTGTTTTCCGTACATGACAAAGTATCCATCAATTTTGTCCTGAGTTATTGCTTCATAAAGTTTTCCCATCATTAATGTAAATGGACTGGACAGTAGTTGATACATTTATCCTACATTCTTTTGATAAAAATTGTGAATTTACAATTCTCCAATCCTCTGGGACCATCCCAATATCGACAAAGCAAAGCTTCTGCTTCCATAATTTCCTCCCATACTTCCTTTAGTAACCTTGGATACATTCCCTCTGGTCCTGGTGACTTATCAACTTTAATTACAGCCAGCCTTTCTAATAACTTTTTTTTTTAGCCCATATAATTGAATTACCTTCAATGTCATTATGATTTTAGTGGCATTTTATTTCTTAGTAAAGACATAAAACATGCATTTTATACCTCAACTATGTCTTCTTCCTTCATGCACATTCCCTTTTTGAACCCTAACCAGCCTACCCCTCCTTTTACAACATTTTGCTATTTAAGTGCCTAAAGAGAGATTTGGAGTCCCTTTTAATTAGCTATTCATAATTTTTCAGTCTTTTTGTCTCTCCTATTTCCTTTTTATATTTCTACACTGAACTTCCTATGTTCAGCATGGTTCATTCTCATTTTCAAACTGACATCTCTCATATGTATGCTATCACTGCTTCATCATCCAGGGACCTCTGGAATTGATTGCTCTACCTTTCGATCTCAAGGAAATGTACCGTGACTGTATCTTAATTCTATCTACAAGCAACCCATTGTTCAATCTTTGATTCTAATGACCTGGATCAGACCCCTTCTCACCCTACTGAAATTGTTCTACCAATCAAGTATTTTCAATTTAGATTGATCCTTATCATTTCCAGCCACTAACCTAAACCTTATGATACTATGACCACTATTGTACAAATACTCCCATTTGTCACTGATCCATTTTACCCACCTCATTCCCACAACCAGATTCTGTAATGCCCTTTACTCAGAACCAGAAAAGTATTGATCATATATATTTTTCTAGGCATCCTTCAAAAAGGGTAGCACAGTGGCTTAGTGGTCATCACTGCTGCCTTACAGTACCAGGGACCTGGATTTGATTCCAGCCTTGGGCGACTGTCTGTGTGGAGTTTGTACATTCTCCCCATGTCTGTGTGGTTTTCCTCCCACAGTCCAAAGATGTGCAGGCTAGGTGGATTGGCCATGCTAAATTGCCCATTGTGCCCAGGGATGTTTAGGTTAGGTGGGTTAGACATAGGAAATTAGGGGACTGGGTCTGGGTGGGATGCTCTTAGGAAGGGCGGTGTGGATTTGTTGGGCTGGATAGCCTGTTTCCACACTGTAGGGATTCTATGAAAAACTCTTGCCCTCTGCCCTTTGTATATTACCATTCCAGTGTAGTTTAGGATTTTAAGATCTCAACTTTTTTGGACCAAATGTATATATGGCATCACCAACTAAACACAAACAGTTTTAGGGTGTAAAATACAGTCAACACATCTGTGTTGTGGGTTTGGTTGTTTCATTTTCCTCAACAGGAAATTATGTGAAATGAAGGCATAAAATGCGAGAAATACACAGTTGATCTGGCTCTTCACAACTGCGAATAGAGAAACACATTTAACTTTTCAGCTCAATGACCTTTCTCCAGGTCACTTTCATCAGAACGCATAAACTCTCTTCACAAATGCTGTCTGGCCTGCTGAGTGTTTCCAGCCTTTTCCATCTTTTAGATTTCCATCATTCACAGTAGTTCACTATTATAATAGTGTGCTGTACCTAAATGAAGATGCATCCACTCACACAAAGCTCTAGAAAATTTTAAATTGTTAATTTTCCTTACTTTTTCCCCTAAGAAATACCAGGGTGGAAAATGTACTGCTTTGGGTCTTTGCCACTTTCATGAAGTTGCAGACTTTCCCCCAAAAGGGGCTTGGAGTGGGAAGCAGAACGTGGCTTTTGTCTAAATTGGGAAGCGATATTTCTGACTTCTTTTGTCTGGGGCTTTGGTTGGGATGCACCTTAGAAGTTGGTTGAAAGGCTTGGCAGGGTGATGTAACAGGCTAAAGGCTTCCCCTGCCTCACCCATTCCATCTCCAAGCTAAGTTTAATATATAAACATAAACTTTTCTAATGGATCAGCAGGTCTTCTGGCTGGAATTGTTCAGTATGACAACTTCAAAGATGATTGTTCCTGCTCTGGTTTCTGATACCAAGGTCAGCCAGAGGGAAATCTATGCAAAAAAGTGATGGTGTTTGACTTGGCACAGGAAATACAGATAAATGTGGACATAGACATAGTATACTTTGGATGTACTGGTCCTTTCCAGTGCTCAGGCAGAAAAAAATTATCCTAATGTTTTGGAATGTGAACAGAAATATCTACATTTTCATAACTTTAAAAATATATTTTAGCAAGAGATCAGTGGATCCAGTGGACTGCCTGACCAATGATGGTGTCCAGCTTCCCTCTTTCTTACCATAATACCTTGGACGGAGTTATGATTCCTTTTTTGTGGCGCTGAGGCCAGTGTATTACCAGTCTTTGGAGAAAGGCTGAGAGTTGGAAAGAGTGATTGCAGAAGGCAACATAGGAAGCCCAAAGTGTTCACACCATCAAAAAAAACATTACAAGAGGTGGAAATACTCCCCAGATAGGAGGCTGGCCAATTAATAGGGCTGTTGGCGGCCACTTTACAAGCCTCAGCTTCAAAGGTACTGTGACCACACAGCAGTTTAATGCCGCCTGAGGGCTCTCCCCTCTGATCACCAGGGCCAGTTTACCTGGCACCTGAACATCTATTTTTTACTTACCAACCCTTCAATGAGCACTTCAAGTGAAGGTGCCCTCTCCTCTTTGCAGCTTCCATGCAGGCTCACTAGAATGGTGGCACTGCTAAGGGTGTAATGCTGCCGACCATCTGATTGCACTGGCAGCTCAGAGAGGTGGGCTGCTGTCCTTAATTGGACTTAATTAATGTCTTGCTGGCAGCCTCTTAAAGTACTGGCAGCCTCTGCCAGTAAAACTGCCCCGACGGTGTCTCCATCCATCTGTGTGGGCTCAGGAACTGCTTTGGTCCCTACATGGGAACCAAAGTATGCCAGTATGTCTGAAATTTATTTGCATTGACAGCAGAGAATTAACTGCAGTATTGTATGCCTTTAATTTTAAACCTACTTTAAAGCTTCCGATCATGGCTGTTGTCAACTTCTGAATGGGTCCTTTGTCATTCATTCAGAAGTAAACAATCTTGGTAACTATTTTCCCCAATATCTATTTTCCATTATTGATCAAAATACCTCCATTTAATGAGGTACACTTACTGCATTTAATATCGGGCAGCATGAAGCTTCAGAATCAAGGTCACAATTAGTAATTACTACTGCAAAGCAGTGAGTGGAGAAGTGTGAAGCTTCACCCCTGGAATAATAAATAGCACCCATACAATTAGATTACGGCATTGAAAGATTTTATTAACTCAAGAAATATTTATAAAAATAATTACTTTTTAAAGCATCAAACACAAGCAATCTTTTATGTCAAAAAATTATAGGGATGATTCTACATTGTACCAGGTCGTCAAAAATACAATTCATCAAAAAGTGACCATATTTATTAACATGTTGCACAAGTTATTCTGTCAAAAAATCAATTATCCGTTGCTACAAAATGCATTCACTCATATAGTGTAATCTAATGTAAACTAAAATTCAACAGAACATTGCACTTTAATTTTAGAAATGGTGAAAATGCAGCTTTTGTGACAACCTATCTTCCTTTTTTGTTTTTTCTCCACTTTTATGAATTGTTTCTCCAGCTGGGAGGGTAAGAAAACTTTTGTATGATTTCCAACAACCATGTAACTTTGTGGCTTGTCCAACCAAAAGCAGATGGTCAGGACGTTGTGATGGACAGACGCCATGTTTTCTGTTGAAATGCACCCTACGGCCCTGTTAATGTGTGTCACACTGATTTTCCTGCAGTGTGTCACTCACCTTGTGAAGGCTTAGATTACAACACCATGAAGAAAATGTCTTAATTCCATCATTTATTACAAAGTTGTGCTGATGCCTTAACAAGGAAGTGCACAAAGTACGAGAAGTGTTTTGGAATTCTGACAACAAATAAAACCCTAAAGTGTCTAATTCTGCAGTACATTTTAAGTCTCCTGTTAATTTTTGATCTTTTTGCAGTTTCTTCTTCCTTGCAATCTGAACATGAAATCCCTATGCTCAAACAGTCTAGGAGACACCTCTCACCATATCCCTTCAATCACCCACATTCCCAACAGATTTATTTCCTTTCAGTTAATTAGGAAAAGCAAATTTGTCAATTTACAGTCTTCAGATCTACAGTTCATTGGCCAATGCTGTACATAAACAGGTACCATAAAATACAAACACTACACATGTCTCCCTCGCTTTCAAGTGAATTACTTCCCTGGTTCATATATAAAGCTGAACAAACGACAAAAACGTCAAGTCAAAGAGACAACTCTGGAGTAGTTTACTTGTCATTTGACAAAGGAAAAATTCTAAATGACAGCATTTAAGGTCAACATTACGATTTTCTAACTATGAATGTAACTTTTTTTACAAGACATAATTACATGCTAGAATTAAAAATGACTTTTCTTACAGACTTTTACTTATGAACTTTAAAATGAGCTTACTCCAATATTTTTCTTTAATGTGGCAGTGATTTCCAAGGTTGCACAAAGGAATAATAGTTTCATAACACCTCTTTCTACCTACACATTAAAAAACTTGTTCATTTCAATGTTGTAGATTGCTAGAACATTTGTAGGATTAAACTCAGCATCCTGATTATTATAGATTCTTTATTCTGTCTGCTACATACTGTAAACTTTATAAGTAAGGGTTGGGGGGACTTATTACTTTGATAAAGCAATTAAATTAATGTTAGTTATTTGTTTCAAATTCAACAGTAGAAACATATTTTTATTTTTGTTAATGCAAAACGAAGATCTGGCAAAGTCCTATCTGTCAACAATATGTACTTCCTTGGCTTAGAGAATAGATTTAGTCTAATACTTTGTCCAAACAAAACAGATTTCCAAAATAAGTTTTGTAACATTCAAATAATTTTACAAAGTATTTTGAAACATACTTTATACAAAATGCATGCAAAAGACTCTTGTTTAAATATCCATATCCTTCATTCCCATTAAATGGTTAGTACAAACAGATGCGCAACAAACTTAATATTTTGGCAACAAAGCATGGATCTTCTGCCTTTCTTTATTTCTATTATTTTTAAAGTAAGTTATAATCATTTTGGTGGCAATATCTTATTAGCATTATGTACAAATATTTACTAATTAATAGGAAAGGAAGGTTTTTCACAGTTCAATATATATCTTTTTAATGTATTTAATACTGCTTTGAGCGTTTAAGGTCAAGCAATTTAAAAATACCATATAAATCCCAACATTTACTTTTTTCACTACTTTTAAAGCCATTATAACGTGACTTTGGTGAGTCATCTAAATACCAATAAACTTTTATTTTGAATTTCTCAGAAATCAATTTCAGTTTATTTCTTCATAAACCTGCTGTTGCATGATCACAGTCTTAAATTTCCTTGTGTGAGCACTTTCAGACACTAAGTACTCAGGGAACAATATTACCATTCACAGTGACAACAGACGTCAGACAAGAAGAAGCCTACCTGAAAAAAAACAGGAGTTGTAAACAGAAAGGATATCAGGAACTGATCTAAAATTGGATTATTGTTTTCTCTTCAATCAGAGATATCCCTGAATTTGAGGATTCTATGCAAATTTAGAAAATTTATACAGGAGAATAAAGTTGACTGAAACATATATTAGAAAATATTTAAAGTTTACCTAATTTATTGTGCAAATAAGCACACATTTAATGAAATCCTGTTTTTTTAAAAACCAAATATACATTTATGCAAATATGATAAATAAATCCCTGATTTAAGCTTTAATAAAAACAGCACATGCTTCAAAAATGCAGCCAGCAGTATCTGTGGAAATAGAAAGTTCTTTTAATGACCTTTCATCACTGATCTGAAACTTAACTCTGTTTCTCTCTCCACAAAATGATGCTTGACTTTCTAAGTAATTTGAGCACTTTTCTGCTTTTTTATTTCAGATTCCCAACATTCCACCGTATATGGTTCCTGATTTAACCTTTCTTTTAAAGTTCATTTTAGCCTTATTTTAACAAGTGCTAATAAAGCTACAGTTTTATATAGCAGTGAGGTTCCAGAAACTTTTATCTACTGCACATCATATTTTACTAATAATCAAAATGAAATGTAGGAAATCAAAGTCGAAACTTTTTAAAAAGCTAATTGTTTTCTAAAAGTACATTTCAGCTTGCTTTAAGGTCATATCTTTAACTCAAACTCCTTGTAGTGTATTCCTGCATCGAGTTTTATACCTACATTAAGATAAAGAAAGTTAAACCTAATTATTTTGATGCAGTAGCAATGAAAAAATGTCATGCATAAATTTATTTTCTAACAACATTCGATCTCATAACATGGTTTTTTTGTACAGGGACATATGGATTACTGTATCAGCATCAAGAGAAACGTCAAAATTCCAATTCTTCCTTCAAGAATAGGTTAAAAGTATAACCACATCAATTCAACGCTCAAATACACATTCCAGGGAAGGATAAAGAAAAATCTTCAAAGACACTCTAAGTGAAGTGTGGCAGCATGAACCTACATGACAGGGAAGGCTACTAATCACTAAGAAAGAAGACAACCTATCCATCAAGCCACATCAGGTTTCAAGTTCCAAGACTTTATTGACAAGGTAGAACGGCTGCAGAGAAAGGAGCAAATTGAAGTAAATCCTGCACTCTGGATCTTACTGCCTCCTCGGATGTCCTGTCTCATGAGCCCAAAAATCCATTGAAACTCGGCCAGTTTGGTCACGTGCAGACCCATAGGAGAAACTCAAACCCTGAGTAGACGTCATCCTCGAGTTGAGGGACAGCTGGTGATACATCAAATATCTCACCTTCAGTACAATAATATGCACTGAAAGTTTTGTAGCAGGAACACAACTCTTTGATATACGCTGCTCAGTCAACAATGTGAATACCGAAATGCAAAACAGAGTCTCAATTCAAGCTTCCAAGCAATGCACCTTCTTCTGTCTAAGCAACCTTTATATCAATTCTGCTCTACACCATTCCACTAAAATGAACTTCCGTAAACAGAATTATATAACCTTGCACATTTAAAAATATATGTTTGGGAGAAAAAAATAGGCTCCTTAGTTATTTTGTGATTTTGCTCACTTTACAAAGGCAATTTATCATGGGAACACAGTTAAGGATAATCTGTTTACCTTGCATTACCTTCATGTACTTACTGACTTATTAGAAAGACACATGTTTGGCTCCTTGTAAACCTCTACTTTAGCTCATTATCATTAATTTAGTTGCAAGAGCCCAGATCAACTCTGAATGATTGCAATAATTACACCTTTTGGCACCTTCCCAGGCAAAGGTCTGTAATGTGGGAATGGTGCCAAAAGGTGTAAGAATTGAGCTGAGGATTCATTTGGTTAAACCCCAGAGACCAAAACAGGACTAGAGAGCTGATTAATCATTTTGGGCAATGAGAAACAGTAAGGGTGGTCATTGGGTGTAACTCTTCTTAATTGACACATTTGGGAAGTTGGCACAGAGCTCTTGAACCACCCGACTATCAATCTGGGAACAGAAGGAAACGTCTAGAAGACAGAGCTCCTTACAGAATTGAAGCAGCTTTCGTAAGGCCCCAGGGCTCACCATTCGTGTACCTATAGGAAAATAAAGAAAAGAAAATAAGTCAGATAGAGTCATAGAGCTGAGCATCATGGAAACAGACCCTTCGGTCCAACTTAAAAACCAAAAGAACTGCGGATGCTGTAAATCAGGAACAAAAACAAAGTTGCTGGAAAAGCTCAGCAGGTCTGGCAGCATCTGTGGAGGAGAAAACAGAGTTGACGTTTCGGGTCTGGTGACCCGAGGAAGGGACCCAAGGTTCTGAGGAAGGGTCACTGGTCCCAAAACATTAACTCTGTTTTCTCCTCCACAGATGCTGCCAGACCTTCTGTCCAACTTGTCCATGCTGACCAGATATCCTAAATTAATTCAGTCCCATTTGCCATCATTTGGCCCATATTCCTCTAAACCCTTCCTATTCATATACCTATTCAGATGCCTTTTAAATGTTGTAATTGTACCAGCCTACACCACTTCCTCTAACAGCTCATTCCATACACGTACCACCCTCTGTGTGAAAAAGTTGCCCCTTAAGTCCCTTTTAAACCTTATCGCTCTTACCTTAAACCTCTAGTTTTGGACTTCGCTACCCTGGGGAAAAGACCTTGGCTATTCACTCTATCTATGCCCCTCATGATTTTATACACTTCCATAAGGTCACTCCTCAGCATCTGACACGCCAATGAAAATAGCTTCTCCTTATAGCTCAAACTGTCCAACGCTGGCAACATCCTTGCAAATCTTTTCTGAACGCTTTCAAGTTTCACAACATTCTTCCTGTAGCAGGGAGACCAGAATTGAATGCAGTATTCCAAAACTGGTCTAACCAATGTCCTGTACATATTAAATATTCTTGAATTACTTGTTGTGCAAAAAAAAAGGTCAGTCAGGAAATAAAATCTGCAACAATGGACTTCCTTCAATACTACAGAAAAAATACACATTTTGTTGAAGCTTTTAGCCCTGCCAATCATATAGGAAAAACTATAGGAATGCCAAGATGTAGCGAAACCACTGGCCAATTTCTCAGTGGACACTGAGGAAAGTGAGCTCATTCGACTTCCATTTCAATTATCAACTGGTGCATTATCCTTCACAATGCCTCTACCAGTCAGTGTCCATTTGTCAACCAATCAGCATTCTCCTCCCATACAATATAAATGTTGGTTTCCCACTTAAATTGGCATTCTTTAAAATTGTTCTGATGAGTGCAAGATGAAAATACAGTAAGCCATGAAAGAAAGTACGAAAATATAATCTTCAGGTAAAGTTGGCTTAGGGGCAGCAGACTAATTGGATCAAGGCATGAAGACAGACTGCAGTCCCCATTTTAAAACCATATATTTGTTTCTTATTTTTCTATTTCAATTGTAGATTCTAGTGAGCACACTTACATGGGAACAACCTAACCAAACTGTTTCTAATCTTATGACACCAACTCGGCAGTTATTCTACAGTAGCAACTTCGCTGGGTTAGGTGGAAAAAGTTGACAACAAGCATATGCATATAGAACTTCTTAGTATATCATAGATATCAGTTGATTTGTTCTAGGCAGAGAAGCAAAGAAACATAGAACACAACTGACTGTAATGTTCATTAGTACAGAAAGTTAGAAAAGAACAACCTACAACTAAAATAGAAAAATAAGAATAAAACACATTGATTTCAGATGGGGACTGCAATCTGGCTTCATGCCCTGATCCAGATCTCCAGATACTTATCCAGCAGATCCCCACTGGAGAATGTGGGCAATGAAGGAAGAACAGAATCAGGCTTGGTTATAACGCTCCTCTCAATGAAGTTGTTCACAAGTATTCCCAACCTGAACTCACACACGAAGAACATGGTGAGGTAATGAAGCGTGGCTTTCACTTTGAAACTGAATGCCGGCAACAGATGATAGGAAGGAGAGGAATGATAATAATAAATCCATGGGAACTGCACACACTAAGAACCTTCAGTGCTTCCAACCAAACAATCAAAGCATGTGTGCCAGCCCCAAACATTTTGTTTTAGAAGTTATTATTGATTGTAAGTTCAAAACACTGTGCTAGTGTTAGTTATTGCATTCGGTGACACCTTAATAATGGCTGCTGACAGGATGGCACCTACCTATATCTAAGATGCCAGCATGACTTTTTTTTCAGTTTAAAAATTTCAGTTTAAAAAAAGTCCTTGTCAAATTTATCATTCAGCAGCACTTATTTTCAGTTTTCCAACTGAATAGATGCTTCCTTGTGAGTACATTTTCCCTTCATCTATCTTATTCTTCTCTCTTCTCTTGTTGCTATCTGGTTCCACTGGTGCCAGAAGCTTTTTAGGGATCTTGCTCAAGTGGCTTATCTTCATGGTTAAATCAACAGTCAAGCCCGATCAGCATACATGTTTTCTACCAGGAGTCACTAGATAGTGACGAGGACCAGGAACAATGTTAACTTTCTCTTGTTTTAGCCCAGAGCCACTGAGGACATATGTACACCACCAAAGATCAACTGACTGAGAAGAGACAAAGAATGGATCCAGCATTCTATGACTTGCAAACTCAGCATGACAAAGGCAGCTGCTTTTTCACTAGACCACACGTTTACAACTGACATGTTCCACAATAGTTGCGCTCAGTTCACATAAACCACAACACTAGGTGCTACCACTGGTTGATTATGAAGACACCAAAACACAGGCCCAGTCATCCTTTTGCAGAACAACTTCTGCATGACATTCAGGTATAAAAGCTATGCCAATCTTCACTTTCCTAGGTCTGGACAAGTAAACCAGCAAGATTCCTTGCTAATATGATGGTGGCAGAGTAGGAGTCCTCAGCCAGAGCTCATATGCTCTGTCCATTTCTTTTCTTTCTTTTTCTCTTTTCATGTTTTTTTAATTGTTCTTACCTCCTGTCCATGTACCTAAGATGGTGCTGTAAGTGGCAACTTGTAAAGTTTTCACTGTACTCATGTGAGTACATGTGACATTAAACCTAATTCGAACTGTAATTCTAACACTATCAAAACGCATTGATTCGGATGAAATATGCATCTACTTAGAATTACACAGGGGCTTAACACTGCATGAGTTTTGAGAATGTTCTGACTGCATATCCATGAAAAATGACATTTCTTTCCAATTTCAAATTTAATAAAGAATCTCTAAGAGGCTTTATTAAAGTGGGATGTTGGGAAACTGTAGGGACATCTTCTCTGACCATTGGTCTAGTTACCTAAGAAATATTTTCAATTCAAAATTCACAATATGTAATTTTATAGTAGTTTCTTTGTAAAATAAGTAATTGTAAACTGAAAAGATGGAAGAAATACCACACTAATAATCAGAAAAAATAATTAGGTAAGGATATCTGAAGTAAAATGATGCCAAGTTGGATTTTTTTCCCCTTGTTTTCCATTTTATTGATAAATTACACTGTTTGACAATTTTGGTAATGCTTGAATGCTCCGGTTATTGTTTAAGAGGAATATAAAGGAGTAAGGTTTACTAAGAAAAATAAGAACCCAGAGCCACAATAGAGATCACAAGTAAAGTTGGGAAAAAATAGACGAAGTAACTGCTGAAATAGCGTATATGAATAGCTTTAAAAGTCCAAAAAAATTGTAGGGGAAAGGTTAGATGTTGTATCATTCTTCCAGATCACGAGCCTCTGACAATGCTACAAATCTTTTCAGAAAGCGATGTCATAGAGAGGACAGAAAGAAGACAGAAGAAAAAGGGTTGGGGGACAGCCTTTGAAATTGATTGAAAAATAACTTTTACTTTCAGAGGAGAATTTCAAATGAAGAACTTTCTGTGAAGAATTGTTTCGTAAACTTAATGACTTTTGATTGATGCCTTCTAAAATGCACAAATGAAAGGATTCAATACCATAAAATGAAAAAGTACAGATGTTTCTCCCCAATGAAAAACGGAGTCTTAACAAGATAAATACAATAATCTAAGCAAAGACTGTGGAATCACAAGTAAGGAATGGACAATCGACATCAGCCCATCACAAATAGCCTTTCGGTTGCTCTACTATGAAATATGTACTTGTCTTTGGATACAGCATCAATATGTGTTGAGTAGAATCTTGCATTTAGATTACTGACAAGATAGTGCACAAGATGAAGATGTTGGTAAACACATACAAAATGCAATGTTTCCAAATGATTTACTTTATAACTTTTCAAAATATGTAATTGTTTTAATTTGGCAGTTCCATGAAATTATGTAAAGTTTGAAATTTAAAAATAATTGTTCTTACACTTTGATTTAAATAACAATCTTTGAACTTGTAAAATGAGCAAAACACTTGAAAAATTTGTTAAAAAACATTCAATTTACAGCAATATAAGAAGTTAGAAGGCTAAAAGAATTATTCAAATTTACCACTTGAAAGCAGTGCTATCTGTACCACATCAATTTTCCAGAGGAAGACAGCACCCTGGCCACTACCTGCATGACCTACGCAGCGTTCCTCATAAACGTCATTGTAGAAAGCAACTTTGTAGCAGCCTATGTGAACAAATTGTCACAATGTGTGTATTTTTATTTATCCATCGCCTCTGATGGTTTCTTGAAATCTTCTCTGGGATTCCTTCTTTTGCCACAGAGGTATTGAAAGAATTAAATACTAAAACTACAGACTTTTGTTGTTCATGTGAAATATTTGTAAAATCCTTTCTTGGTTGAAAATGATAAACATAATTAAACTTTCACAAACTTTTTACAATTTTGAAAGGTGTGTGGTCAAGCAATTCAAATTATTTCCAACTAATTTAGCTTACAGTTTAAGCTTTTCTTAAGACAGAATTGTAATCTGTCTTCATTTTACCAACCAAAATAAGTGCTGCATTAAACTCTCACTAAAACACAATGAGAAAACAAATGGAATATAGGGTCTTCCAAAACAAATTTCTTTCTCTCACACATACACTAATCTCATATGTGATCAATATGAACAGGGACAAGTAAACTAAACAAAACCCTGCTACTAACAAATTTACAGACATAATGTATGGGACCTTTCAAGCAAAATGGATCAAAACTGAAATAAAACAAAGTGTGTTGTTGCAAACACAAATCATTACATTTTATAACGGTCTATTAATTTAGGTTCTTGGAAGTCTTGTTGAATAACTCTGAAGAAATTAAATACATGTCAAATATATTGACAAGAAATAGTTCAGAAATTATTAAAGGAATTTTGCTGGTTGAGAAAATCTCAAGATCAGGTCATCACTGTAAAAAATCTGAACTATGTCAATTAAGTGCTAAACAATTGGAAGAACAAAATAGTGCAGTTTTAAAGTACATGATATTCAAGGCAGCTCTGAATCTCTTTGCTTCCTGCGTGGGATTTGAGCTTTGTTGACTCGGATAGCTTTTGTTGCCCATTCCTAGTTGCCTTTGCTGTGTCATGTATTTGCTGTGCCATGTCTCCAAGTATTTGCTCCCTTTGTTATTCTAGATGACAGTGGTCGTGGGTTGGAAGCTCCTTTGGAGAATGTTTGCATTACATTTTGTTAATGGTACACACTGCTGGGACTGCTACAAAAAATAGATTGGAAAAGTTGGGACTGCTCCGCTTGGAGATGAAAAGCTAACAGGAGATCTGAGAAAAGTTTTCAAAATTGTGAGGGGACTGGATGGAGTAGATTGGAAGAAACTGTTCCCACTTGAAAAAGAATCAGGAATCAGTGTGTACAGAAGCAAAGGAAGCAAACGTGAGATGAGAAAACAAAACAGTCCCACACAACAAGTGGTGGAATGCACTGCCCAGAAGTGTGGTGGAAGCGCAGTCAATTGAGGCATTCAAGAGGGTTTTGGATGATACTTAAAATAGAAGAAATAGGCAACAGTATGGGAAAAGGCAGGGGAATGGAACAAAGTTATGAAGCTCAATTGGAGGGCCATATTGACTCAATGGGCTGCTTGGTCCCCTGTGTTGTAACTCTTTTGTGATTCTGTGAAGTTGGGAAATTTTCATAAATAGCAGCTGATGCTCAGTGATTTGTTAATTTTGAAATCGGTAGCATTTTTTGTTCATTGAAGATATTAAAGCGATATTAAGTACAAGCATGGATGAGGTGATGAATGTTTTCAGTAGGAGGTACGTATAATAGATCAGGTGGCTAGCCCACCACCTTCCCATCCAGCCTTCTTCCTTGCTCTGGGCTCCAGGATCTCTTCTTGCACTACATCCCAGCACTCCGCTTTCTAGAGTCTCCTTGCAACTTCTTCCTGGCATCCTGGTAGTGCCCACCATTGAATTCTCAGAGTTATGGAGTTTTTGGCCAGTTAGATTGACCTGCAGCTCTCAACCACAGGACCTACTTGCGCCGAATGGCAGGAGTCGCACATTCAACCACTCTAGGCTACCAACAGCATGCTATTGCTGCAGGGCATGCTTGCAAGACGTGAGTCAGCTTCCAATCAACTTTCCTTCCAAATCCAGCTCAGAGTTAGATTACAGTTCAGCCATGATTTTATTGAATGGCAGAACAGGCTCAAGGAGCTAACGAACTATGCCTGTTCCTGTATACGTTCACAATCCACAATGCTCCACATGACCTGTCCCCATATTTCTTCCTTTAACTCGACTAACATGTGCTTTTATCTCTCTGGTCATCATGCACTTATGCTCAAATGTATCCATAGTATTTGCATTAACTGCTTTTTGTAGCAGCAAGTTCTTCATTCCTAATATTCTTAGGGCAAGTCTCCTGAATTGCCAAAGGGATTTATTGATAACTATCTTATTTTTATGGTCTAAGGATTTGATTTCCCTATTTGTGGAAACATTTCTACATCCATTCTATTAAATCCCTCCAGAATATATAGATATCTCTGGATCTAGGTAGTACATATTAAAAACTGTATGGTAATCATTGGAGATTTTGATTTGCATAAACTTGGAGAATCAGAACATTTGAAGCAGTAAATGCAATGAACTTCTAGAATGTATTCAATTCAATTTTCTGGACTATGTTTAGAACTAACAGAGTAATGAGTAATACAGGATTTAGTGAATATTTAATAAGGTAGCAATGAAGAAGAAGCTTGCAAAGAGTGATCAAAACATGACTAAATTGCATAAATGGCTTTGGAGGGAAAGCTACAAACCAACGGTTTAAATTTAAGAAAATAATCTTGGGACGGATGGAAAATAAATTAAGTGCAGCAAACTGGGCTGAAGCTTTCATCGATAAACTTAGAGACAAGAAGTGGAAAGCTTCACAGAAATATCTTGTACAACATATAATTGATACATTCCCTAAAAGGCAATGTGGGCCATTTGTACAGTTAAGGAGCCAACTACAAAAAAAATGAAAAACAAAAAAATGTCAAACTTAAAGAAAAGGTTTACACAAATACAAAGTGGGAAATCCAACAAATTAGGAGACCTATAAAAAGCAAAAGAACACAAAGAAAATAATACAAGGAACAAAAGTGGGAATATGGAAAATAAAAGGACACTTCAAAGGCTTTATAAGGAAGAGAATGGTAAAGATGAATGTTGAAAAAAATGGATGCAGGCAAAATGACAATGGATAATAAAGGATGGCAGACTTGTTAAATGAGCATGCCGATTTGTGAAAAAAGCAAAGGGATTTCAACGTAGATGTCCACAAATCACTAAAGTGCACAGAAATTGTCAAAATAACGTGCTGAAATGTTGGTCTTTACCCCAACATATTAGTGCAGCTATTAGATCTTCATCTAATTTCCGCATTTGGCATTTTACGTCTCAATTCAGAGTGATTACTGAGAGTGTTGATTCTCATGACATGATACCTACAAGAAGCCCTATTCCCCACTCCTTGTACATTATCTAGAATATGCTTGGATGCTGCTTTCCTTTCACCTTAAAGGGCTCCATTAGAGTTGCTCATTATGGCTGGGCTTGCTTTCTTCTGGCGACCTTAAGTGCTATTCCAATTGATGATGACGATGACAGCCCTCTTGTCTGTATAATATCGTTGCTACTTCTATTCTGCTGAATTCTCGCATTTTTAATCCATGTTGTGCACCATGTTAGAAGGTAACCAAAGGCACATCAAGAATAAAACATTTGCATGCTCTGCTTTTCTGATACCATATTACTAACAAATGCACAAAAACATTCCACTACATACGTATACTTTATGGGAATTCAGTTATCAGGATTGCAAGCTCAAGGAAGAAGTCTATTAATCTTTTTCATTTAATGATCAGAAATACACTTAGTGGCATCTGGATTCACAAATAGCCTCATCTAACGTACTGGACAACATTGGCCTAACTTAGATATGTGCTTAAGTTCTCTGACACACCTCCACATTGTCTGAAATTTACTGATCTACAGTCAATTCATTACTTGTTTCTGTGGGCTACAGAATGAAATTCTAAAAATGACTCAGTTTTATTCTTGGCTCTGAGTTGGTATGCACAATCTTCTTGGAGATCACAACCACTTTGAGCCATGCCCCACTTTGTGATATCGATGGTAGCCATGATGTGGAGGTGCCAGTGTTGGACTGGGTCTATGTTATTCTTGGCTCTGGATTGATTTTGCTTGTTTTCTTTATACTGATGACTAAGTTAAATTCAATTCCAGAGGAATGGGGTACCTTTTCATGAATTGTTCCTTCAAATTATTAAAGGTAAGGCAAGGAGTAGTAAGTATATCTTGGTACTGGACTGACTTCAGTGAAGTTCAATAAAGCTTTTTACAGACAATGACACATGTCAAGAAGTTAGCAGACAAAACAGTTTGATCTTTTACTTCTTTGTGTTTTTTTAATCCTTTTTAGACAGAAGCAGTTTTCTTGAATGCAGCATCCTTGAACATGCCTCATTTTTCTCATTTGGTGGAACTAAGATGCTGTGCACTTCACAAGCTTTAAGTTAACAAGAAACAAAGGTTAGTCAGACTATCATCAGTATCCAACCTGCCCAATTGGCACACAGCTGCTGCTTAGGGTGCTTGGAGGCAGGGGATTATCAGTTTTACTGATAACATTCATTTAATTAATAAGGGTATTTCCTTCAGTATATTAGGAATGGGGGAGAAGAGGATTATAACCATGAACTGCAATACTTTAAAACAACATTGTAGTCTCTAAGCACGATTCAAAATGTCAAAACTGCAAAGAGTACAAACCAGCTTAATTTTATTGTACAGAGATTAGGTATAAGATCAGACTTAATGAATTCCTTGTTTCCTAATTCAGAAAACACAAAAATAGGCTGGAAGTTATATTAGAAAAACAAACTTTCTTTACAAAGTTAAAATCTCAGTTTTTCCTGGAAACCTGTTCACAGTACAAATGTTTATCGTGGCGCCTAGTTTCCGTGCTGGAGTACACCTATTGATGTTGAGCTTAGTACATAAATGAAGCATATTTACTGAAAAATTCAATGGGTGTGACCAAGAAACTAGAAGCGAAAGATTGCTAAGGAAGACATATCTTGTAAATACTTTGAAATCAACTTTTTTTGCATTACAATCAAATGAAACTTGCAAAGTATATTCATAAGTCTCATTCTATTAAACCATTTTCTTACCTAATATATCCACATGGAACAGACGAGGGCAATTTTCAGCCAGCTCCTCAATATCTGTGTCACAAACAGATCTATTGGCTGTCAAAAAGATCTTGCGCAAGTTGGGTAGTTTGCGAGCAAGCTTTATGAAGCATCCTGTGCTACTTTGTAACGTTGGGCACCATCCGAGGTCCAGTTCTTCCAGGAGTTGGCAGCCTGATACAATAGCAGCAATACCATTTTCTGTAATATTTTTACATCTCCACAGATCTAGGGATCGTAGCTTTTTACACTTGGCACCAATCACGCTAGCCACAACGTCATAGTCATCAACCTGGACATCAAAAGGTCAACAATTAAAAGTAACCCAAATCTCATGCAGGCAAATGCCTTCATGGTCTTCAGGAATGATGTTCCGACAGGGGAAAAAAAAACATTTTTTATTAAAAAGCAATTAGGAAATTTCCTTAAGGTGTAGACTGGCTAATTAATAGAATACATCCAACTTTTGCTACATAAAAAAATTGTTTTGTCAAATGTGTTTTTAACTTATTGAGAATATACCCTCTCAGCGACAGTTTATTTACACCAACAAAATTTGTACCATGCATGACAGTGTATTCTACCAATCAGTTGCTCAGATGCCAATGGCATACATCATAGTCAGAAAGATAGGAAAATGATGAAAGGGACATTTAAAAGACTACCAGACAAATACTCTTTCCAGGGAGACAGAATGTGTAATGTCGAGAAGACTTTCAAATGGAGACAAACAAACTGCAAACCTTTAAGAAATACATCCAGTTATCTCATTAATATTACATTTCATGAAGGCTGAACTTCAATTCTAACTGCATCATTCAACATGATAAACACAAACCAACTTCCAACATTGTAACAAAGATGCAACAAAAGAAGGTACCTCAGCGACTGACCGTTCAAATGTTTATGTTAATGTTTTTGAAAATGACTGGTAATTCTTAACTCCCCCCAGGTCACAACTTTTCCCCTGTCACTTCATGCTCTAAGAAAAGGAAGAAAGGAATATATATTTCCATATTTATTGTAATTAAAATACTTCTGTTTATCTATGCTCAGTGAGACCCACTAATTCAGATCTGCTGCATGCTTCGCCAGTTGACCGTTCTCTTGGGGTCAGCAGCAGCACTGTATCAGCCCCAGGCAGATCCGAAGGTGCTGACCATTAAAAAGAACAGAACTGTTCCTGACTCTTCTGCCAGTGTCATTAACAGAGCACTTCAGCAAAGTAGAAGGCTCAAAATGTCAGCCAGCACAAAAGTAGAAATGAAGCAGTAAGAGGCATTAGTGTGAAAGCAAAATATTATTTACGCTGGTTATCTGAAATGAAAACAGAAAGTGCTGCAGAAACTCAGCAGTCTGGCAACATCTGTTCACAAAGAAACAGAGTTAATGTTTCACGTCCAACATGACTCTTCTTTGAAACTCATAATAGACGATCACCTTTTTCCCCAAGCGGGAAACACATGAAGCATTTTGAGGAGATATTAATCTCTCTCCATGGCCTTTTCCTTCTCCTTCAAAAAAACAGAAGTTTCCATCATGCTATTGGTTATTTTGATATGAAAGAATATCATTTTAGTTAATGTGTTATTGGACTTTTCAAATTGTATCTAAAGGCATGGCCCATAAAATAGAAATTTAATGCAATCTAATTAAAATAAAGTCTTCAGAGCTATTTAAATTAATTGCACATGCTTTTCTTAAACACGTTTAACTTCCCACAATCAAGTTCTGCAGATAGTTGAAAATCTTTGTTGTATTCTACTTATCAGAAAAATCCTGTATCTGTCTCTTCTCAATGAACTGTAAATGATTTAACAACCTAATTATGTCACAAAAGCCTCAGAATAATTAACCGTACATAAAAAGTGTATATATGCATTAGTTGCATAAATGGCTACAGTTTTCACATTTATGGGGTTAATAGTTTACTATCCAATATATCTGAAATCAGACTGTGGAATAATAAAAGCATTTTGTGCACTTGTTTGAAATTCTTCTTTATTTGCCATTTAACAGACAAATTGAACATTTATTTTAAAAACAGGTCAAAATCTCCATTGAACAGCAGTAAACAGGAAATTCAGTCATATTAAGTTTTCTCTACAAAACAATTTCAATATCGATGTCCTTTCATTTTAGTTGAAGTGCTTGCATTGATTTATTCACTGATAGTAGAGGTTAGTTTAATTCCTGTTACAGGGATGTGGTAAAAATATTTTTTGTTTTAAAGAAAAACTCTTTAGTTTACAGCTCATTAGAACTTATTAGATAGCATTTTGCTGAAAATTACAGTGAGGCGAATTGATGGTAAAATGCAAACCACATATTTTAGCCCAGGGAATTGCTGTTATTTCCAAATGCCTGAAAATAATATCTTACCCTAGTGAAAAGTAAAATAATTAAGTGTGAACTCATCAACCAGATAGTGTACACTTCTGATTTCATCCTGAGAGGATTTTAATCTCAAGGTCAACAATATTCACAGAATATGGCTGCAAGTACAGAACGTTCTGTTATTTTCACCTCATGAGAAAAACTATGATCATTCACCAACAACCATATTGCCTGAGTTAAGAGTCTTGCATATTCCTAAAAATCAGCAGGAACACATTAAATTTAATCTATAATATGGAGTCAAACCTTGTGAAAGCACACTCATCAAAACAAACCTTTCACTTGCTCTGGATGAGTTCTATCATAGAAATTGAAAAAGCACAACTATGAAGACAGGTGCATTTGTTCAAAATATTCTTTGTGAAGTCCATCATACAGAGTTTTGACTATAATTGTAAGCACATTTCTTGTAACTTTTAGGCCACTTTTATAACCATTTTCCCCATATACAACTAAAGTTTGTGAGCCTTGATATTGTGCCTGAAAGCTAATTTTACAATAATCATCACTACTGAAAAGCTGATGGGGTTCAGTACAACACATTTCAAGAAACATCTCATATGTTCTCACAACAATAGTGACTTGATTTCTTAAAGTATAAATATACAAGTTTTGTTTGGAGAAAGAGTCACAAGGTGGTACTAGTAAGAGAATAATAATGAAGTTATCTGCATTTTAATATAATTTTAACTATGAAAAATAAAAACAATATTTATGTTCCAGTGATACAAGATTTTCTTCTGTATCCTTTTCCAGTAATAGTTACTCCTACATTTCCAATTCAAATTATTAATAATGCACAAAGAAAAATGTCAAATCTTTGTACGCAGTTTGAGAAAAATTTAATCCTTAATAGCAGCAAGTTTGTCAGTTTTTAGATCTACTTCTCTCATATGCAAAGTTATGACTGACTTGTAAAAGTAAAAATCTTCCTTATCTGTTGGAAATAATAAGATTTCTTTGCATCTGGAAATTTGATATTTATTTGGCTCTAACAAAATATGGCAGATCAACATTTTATTCAAACACAAACTAGAAACTTAAATGTGGGAACAGGCAACCAAAGCCTAAAAGGCTGCTTAATTAAATCTTTGGTTGTTTTCTCATTCAGAAATGGACTAAAATGATAAATGATGAATTATTTAAGGTAAAGGTGTAATTCATGACACCATGTCCATACTAATGATTTCTTTAAAACTGCATTCTCTAAATGTACTTTTATTCCACAATGGGCATTTGCTCAATTTTGTGTTTTGATATACTTTCTTTTAAAAGTCTTATGAAATAGAATGGTATTTTGGAGACTTTAAGTTGTCAGTACACTCAAATAAGACAATGCTTGACCTCAGAAGAAAATCAGTAGTTCATGCAACTTCAAGTTCTTACCATGACACAGCTGCCAAGGCTGAGGTGCTGAAGTTCCAAGCAGAAGTTCAGAATGCTGAGCAGTGCTGTTTGCTGCCGTTATGGGACACATCAGAGGCAACGTGGATAGAGAAACAAAGGGAAAAGAGGTCAATTAGGCATTAAAGCCTGTCACTGCCTTTCTCAAAATACTGCTCTAAACTTAGGTTACATCTACCACAAATGCAGTTTAATGAGTCCCAAGGTATTCAGACCATCGATTAGCTCATGGCCAAACAAATCATTACAGGCTCAAATGCAGTTCCCTCTAGATGTGAATCTGCACAGATCGCAGTTACCAGGGGCTCTGTTCCTCTGAACACCTCTCCCTAAGGGAGGAATCTTGAAAATGCTGAGACCTTTTACTAACATGCAAGGCTGCTTGTGGCACCAGAATAGATCAGTGCTGTCCCAGAAATAAAGTGGCAACTGTGACATTCACAGATCAGACAACCTAAAGAAATTGTCAATAGCAAACCACCTAGAGTGGCAGGATCGAACCGTACTGACCACCGCCAGCCAAAGGATTCCAGTCATAGTTAACTGGAATTTCTGCATGCATACTATACACAGTAAAGTAAAGCAATTCTCAAGCTACAAGTCAATTAAGTAGTGCCGATTACAGCAACAGAACGCAGGGATAGTCACACCATTTCATCCTCTGTGCAGCACTCAGTTTACACAAAACAGAACAAAATAAATCAAGTGTGAATGCAACACGAGAATCTTGTTGGTTGCTTAGCAGGTAAATAAAGAATTGAGACTGATAGTTGTGCAAAACAATTGTTTACAAATTTAGAATATTAATATTCACAATAAATAAGAACAATGACAACATTATTATTGTATGTTAAATATTTGTAGCACAAAAATAAACCACTCAGCCTGCTTCACCTTTCTTCAGCTAACCCCATCAACATATCTTTCTTTATTTCTTTACCCCTCATGCCCTTAGTTTGTTTCCCTTAAAATGAATTTGTGCTATTCACCTCAATAATTTTTTTTTGTTTCTATGATATTTCCAGACCAGCGGGGATACTGAATTGGAGATGGAAAAGAAAATTGAAAACTGCAGAATAAATGAACCACTGGATCTCATTTACTTCTAAATTCTAAATCCAAGTTTTAGAACTTCTGCGTCACTCAATGAGTCACAGGCTGAAGAGATGTTGGTCATAAAATTAAATCAGACATGTTGCTTTAATATGTAGAAAAATACCACAGTAATTACCTTATTTCTATGTTATTGGAATGTTTTACTTGAAGTGTATAATTCAGGGAAAAACACAGTAAGAAGCCCTCCCCAGCATTCAAGGTAAAGTAAATTATGGTTTGTGAAATAGAGATAGTAAGGACTGCAGAGGAATAACACCTGATATTTCGCCTTGGGAGCTGACAGCCCCATGGCCTGAATATTGACTTCACCTGCTTCAAAATCGCTCTATCTTCCAATTCACTTATCCGATCCACCCTTCCGATGGACAAACTACAATAACCCTCGACTTGCTTCCATCTATCTCCACCCCACCCGCCCTTCCCCCTGCACCCCTCTCTTCTATTTATTTCTGGACTCCCCTCCTACTCCCCAGTCCTGACGAAGGGTTTTGGCCTGAAATATTGACTCCCCTGCTCCTTCAATGCTGTCTGACCAGCTGCACTTTTCCAGCTCCACATCTATTGACTTATGGTTTGTGAAATATTGACACAGTACCACAATTAATTGAAAAAAGTATTTCCCTCTTCAATTTTCTCTTTCTTAAGTATTCCAGCACATTTGCCCAAATGATCAGCTTCTACTCCATTGCAAGCAACTGAAAGATGTACATGCACAGTCCTGGTTGGCTCAGCTTCTGATTTTTCCTCTGTCCTTACGAGAAAGTGTTCATGCTATGTTCACCAATTCTCTCCATTGGTTGGGCTGAGTTAAGAAACTGACCAGATGTAGAGAATTTCAGCCCAGCAATTGCACCTTGTCATTCACTGATACACCAAGCCCACCATCAATACAGAACAACATTGTCAGATTTCTGCAAAGGAACACTAGTAACAAAGCAAATTCCCATAGCAAGTTATGAAATAACAGGGACATTCATACAGAAACAAACCATTACTACAATGATGACTAACCTAGCCAGTAAGAGGAATAATACCAGAAATTACCGCACTTGATGAAAACACAAACTGTTGTAAGGTGGTCTCCTCAGAGAGTTGGTGGTTTTACACCTCACAGTTTTACTGCACTCTACATATAGTCTCCTTGATTATGGAGTTATTTTTACATTGGTGTAAATCCAAAGCTCCATCTACTCTAAGAATTCCACTGCATTCAATTTTCAATGGATGCATCTAGGTTCAGGCCAGATAGTGCACAGTACTTTCTGTATTCATTTAAAATTTCATATACCATTCACACTCTCTTGGGTTAACACTGAACTCATTTATCTTCTTATATCTATTTAACAATAGGGAGGGACAGGAGAAAAGAGAATTGTTTTGATAATTTTCTTTTTTCTGGCAGCGGAATAAACCAAAATCACTAGGATTTAATTTGGTTGTTCATCTCTTTCTTTTGGTGTCAGAGACTGACTTGGATAAGCACATCACTGAATAGATAAAAACAACTCCCCTAATACTGAATACAATTCTGGTTCCTCTTCCTGCTTTATTCAGTTAATCTGATGTAGATATCCTGCCACGTTATAAGGTATTCTCACATGAAAAATCAAGCTACCAGAATTTGGAAAGATATGCCACAGTGTAAAATTACTGCGCAAAATAAAACAAATGAGTACATAAATCAAAGCCAGCTGCCGTGGAAAAAAAATGGGACAATGTTTTATTTTGGAGTAGGCAATTCCAAGAGATAATGCAGCACAAGGAACTGTACTCTCAAGTTTGCATCTTATCTCGTCAAACTGTTTTTGAAATAATAAAATGTATATCATCCTGACAAAAGTAAAAAATATAGCTGCCTTGTTCCACATATGCTATTATACCATTTCAATGTTACAGTTGCTTTTCATCTCCTTTAATAGCTTCACTCTTCACAGGAAAAACCTACTCATGACTTATTACTGAAACTTATCTAACCCACACAGAGTTTCAAAAATTATTAACAGTAACAGGGTCCCACAAAGATATTATCATCCAGTCAATTAGTTTGAAAACACCAAAATTTAGAAAAAGCACACTGAAAATGCTCCAAAAATCTACAAAACACATATTAAACATACCAAATGTCTCTTATTAAAGTCATCTTCAGCAAAAGCACAAACCACGAATGAACCTAATCCAATGATTCACTTTTAAAAATGCAAAATCTGAAGAAATTGTTATTGATCAGATGTGCCTTTACATTACCTTTTTCTCTTTGTTCATGTCTGTGCAATACATCTATTTTAGCACTTTACAGTGTTGTACCACCACCTTCTCACCTCAACTGTCCTTTGCGTGCTCTTTGTCTATCCTGCAGAGCAGTGATATCAATGTTGAAGTGCCTGAATTCATGTGCAACAAGGGATGATTGTTTTGCTTGTCATTCATGAGGGTTCATATATTCCAGGTTCCGAGGTTGAGCTTGACCTTAGTTTTCAGACTGCAGGTAGATGAGCCCACTGAAAGTGGTTTTCCAACCAGGTTGGTGACAGAACAGACTATCTTTAGGCCATCTTTACCAAATCCTTTTCCAACCCGGCCCAGATCAAGTTCTGGTCCATCCCACCCTATGCTACCTCTCATCTAAGACTGACATTAATGAGGAGATTCAATGTTACATCCAATCTATGAGTGGTTCCTTTGGACAACTAAAGATCCCCTCTGACAGCTGTGCTGATACCAAGATCATTGTGCATAAGGCAGTCATCCTTCCAACTCTTCTACATAGCTCTGAAACTTGGACTACATATACCTGCCACCTGAAAACCCTTGAGAAGTAGCATCAAAGCTGTTTGAGACAAATTCTCCACATCAGTTGGAAGGTCAGGCATACTAACATCAGCTTCCATGAGGCAGCCAATTGCAGCAGCATTGAAGCCATGATTATCCAAAATCAATTCTGATGGACCGGCCACGTACCAATTATGTCCTTACCTGTTTTCCATGGCCCTCATGCTTTCTACGCAACCTCAGTCCCTACTATGGGTAGATCTCAAAAGCTATGTGGAAATGAAAAGAAGCAATTCTAAGGATCAAACACAATTCACTCACCTACATTCTTGATGGTGTAAAGAAAAACTCTCCTATTCATAAAATTCAAAGCCTCTAACTCTCAAGTGATTGGCTTCTTACAAACAAGGAAATGTCTATTCAGACCCCTCATCAAAGATATATTTAATTTAATTTAATAGCTTCTTCAAGCAATTGATTGAATAATAAACTTAGAACACTGTGCTGAGATCATTGTAGGTTTTGAAATTCAGCCACGCATTCAAAATGACATAAGGATAGTCCTTGGGAAAACAGCAGCAAAGAGCTTTATTGAAACTGCACTACCAGATGCTACTTTTGTTTCTAATCTACAGACGTTAATCAAAGTAGTCCATCAGAGTTTCATTTTCTTATTGACAACTGAAGCTTAATTTTTTTTTTCGTGTTTTACACAGTGGGGCATTTAAAAAGCATCAGACCTTATCCACCACAGCATCAATTCAAGACATCCACACTTCAGGTTAATATCCTTGCAACAGCCCACACGGGGTCAGTTTGAACTTTGCACTGAGGTCAAATGTCCCTCCTGACTCTGTCTTTTCTTTCTGTCTGATTCATGCCCTGTCCCATTTCACCTGCAGGTAAAAATTCAATATGTCAGAAACAAAGCAGAACGTCAGCAGCCAAGTCCTACCAACTTTTTTTAAAGATCTGTGGTATCTGCTCGATTCCATATGAATCTCGCTCTAAAATACAACACACTCAGCTGCAACATCACACAACTGTTACGGTGGAGAAGTAGGCCATTCATCCCATCACACCTGTACTGACTCATTAAACAACCATCATTACCTAATGCCAATCTCCTGTCTTTACCCCATAGCTTTACATATTATTTTTATCCAAAT